AAAAAAAAAAAAAAAAAAAAAAAAAAAAAAAAAAAAAAGTTTATAACATGAAAATATTATATTTATTAATAATATAGTTATATGCCTTAAATGTTGTTTCAGGAATTTACACTATTTGGATCATAAAATTAAAAAAAAAACACACACACACACACATCTGAAAACATAAGTATTTTTAGTCCAGTGATTTAATTATAATTAGTTTTGTATAAAGATTTAATTATAATTACTCGGGTTCAATTTTAATTATTTTGTGTAAGGGTTTAGTTTTAATTTGTTCTAATATAATCTTTGGTTTTACATTTTTTTAAAATGGTCTGGATTAATTAAGAAAAGTTTTGAATGATTAATGTTTTTTTTGTTTTCAAAATGGTCATCAAATTATTTTTAAGAACATAATATTTGGAAGTTGGAAGGGAAAAAAGAGTTTGTTTATCTTCTTTTATAAATAATAGGGTTAATAAAATTATTTAAAACTAATTAAAAAAACTAAATATGGAAGGGAATGGTGAACCAGGAGAGACCAAAAGCAGCCTGAGCTCAAATGGGACAATATTATACCAATGTGTCCTAATATGGTATTAGAGTCAGTCAAAGGGGACAATATTATACCAATCTGTCCTCAACGATGTGCCCATAGCTAGCCTCGAAGGGGGTAGATTAGGTGGCATTCTCACATTGATTGGGGAGGAGAACAAAACCGTGTGGGGAAACCTGAAAATGAAAGCCCAAAGAGGACGGTGGACTCGTTACAAATGGTATCAGAGTTAACAACCAAATCCAAGCCCAAAGAGAACGGTGGATCTAGGTTGTTACATATTTAAGTCATCACTAAAACCTTTAGTCAATATTCTTTCGTATTTTCTATCTCATGTTCTTTGTGTTCACCAATAATATTCCTCTTTGTGTTTATGTATTTTCTATCTCTCCGGTTCTTTGTGTTCATTGTGTATTAAAAGTATTAAAATTGATTTATATACTAATATACATATAAATAAATAATTGATCCATATATATTATATACATCTAGTAATTCTTTTAGCTTAGGAAACCATTTATTAATTAAGAATTAAATTATTTGTATCAAATATATATTTTTTTCGTTTGTTTATTTGGTGAAACGAATAATAAAAAAAAAAAGAGCAATAAATGAAAGAAAATATAATAAAAAAATAAAAAAAGTAAATGATTTAAGAATATCCGGCTCCAGCAAACCATGCACGATGACGAAGCCGCAAGAATCAAACGAAAAAAATAAAATAAAATTACATAAATCGACAAATATTTCTAGATCCTGAAGCCCAACAAGTAGGGCCCACCAGTGGTGGGAAGCCACGTTCTTCCCTGAATAAACGGCCCAGCCGTGTACTTCAGAGCCTCGTTTCTGCCGATCACTCTCACGCCCTTCCACTTCACTCTCCTGTTCGTGTTCGCCCCCGGCCCTCTGTTCCCGTACTCCATATACAAGCAAGTTTCCAACGCGAAGTTCCCCGCCCACGGCATGTACCCAACCGGCTGAATGAAATCCCCCAATGTCGTCTCCATTATCACGGTTCTCGCATATGCCTTCCATGGCCTTCCCAGGTACGTCTTAATCTTGAATCTCTCTGCGAACAGCTTCTGTTCTGGTACGATTCTGCAGTTGTGGATTACTAGGCCGGAGATTTCTTTCATATCTGCCCGCCCTTGGGCTGTCACGGTGTTCTGTTGGTTGTCCATTGGGCGCCGGACGATGATTAAGGAGTTTTGGATGATGGTGGATGAGTCGCCGAAGATGAAGTCCACGGTGCCGGAGATGACGCAGTTCCGGTAGAATTGACGATGGGTTTGCACGTAGAGGGTGTCTTGGTAGCCGTCCATTCTGCAGTTGAAGAAGGCGGATTTGTCGGATTGGACTCTTAGGGCTACGGCTTGGTGGCCTTGTGGGCCGGCTGTGTTTTGGAACCCCATCGATTTGCACAGGAATCCGTTTCCTAGAGCGGCTGCAAGGTGAAATTCTTTTAGACATTTAGAGTAAAAAGTGTTGAGAAAGCCTCTAACCCTGTCAATATCTGCTAGTTACAAATGGTATCAGAACTAGATTTCGATGTCAGATAGAATGCTGGACTCAAGTGGGTGGATTGTGAGATCCCACATTGAGATAGAATGCTGGACCCAAGTGGATGGATTGTGAGATCCCACATTGAAATAGAATGCTGGACTCAAGTGGATGGATTGTGAGATCCCACATCGGACGAGGTGCATGTGAGGATGCTAAACCCAAGTGGATGGATTGTGAGATCCCACATCGGACGATGTGCATCGCCCGCTAGACCCCAAGTGGGTGGATTGTGAGATCCCAGACGATGTGCATCGCCCGCTAGACCCCAAGGGGTGGATTGTGAGATCCCACATCGATTTGAGGGGAGGGGAGAACGAAACATTATAAAGGTTTTGGGGCAAGCAAGGTCCGATGTGCATCGCCCGCTAGACCCCAAGGGGTGGATTGTGAGATCCCACGTCGATTTGAGGGGAGGGGAGAACGAAACATTATAAGGGTTTTGGGGCAAGCAAGGAAAATCTGACGAGGACAAGGCGGCTAGCAGTGGCTATTACAAAGAGTTCATGGCAAAAACTTACAGAAAGAGGCGGTGTCTTGGGTGGTGATGCCATCACGGTTGCATTTCCGGCCAGTGACAAGGGTTTTTCTGGGGCCATCTCCATACATGAAAACGTTCCTCATCTCTTTAGTCACAATGATATACTCATTATAGATCCCTGCCTTCACGTAGATTACATATCTTCCTTTTGAGCCTTTTGGGTATGCAGCCAATGCAGCAGCAATGCTCTTGAACTGTCCGCTACCGTCCTTAGCCACCACAGCGTTCGGCTTCGCTCTGCCGCCGCCACCTCCTCTAGCTGCCAGCAGCTTCCTGTCTGTCCTCGACAGCCATGTCGGGAACCCATCACTCCCTATTTCAGTTGCTCCAAGAAGCCTGCGCCCACTTGGTTTAATCTTAAATTGCAAGCCGTATCTTTCAAGAATGCTGGAAACAGCATCAACAAGAGCCAGAGCATTGCTGGTGAGCCTGCCAGCAAAATCAAGAGTGTCTTGCATCTTCTTTCGGAGTTGGGGATCGAATTCCTCAAGACCATCAAGACAAGATTGCTGATAAGAAATCACAGCCGTGAGCCAGTTCTTGATATCAGCTATGCGATCCTCCTTAGTGTGTAATTCAGGGTCGCCGACAGTGGAGTAAGAAGCATGTAGCTCATCAATGGCGTATTGCAATAAGTCTTTGCAATCCTCGAGACTCATTTTGATGGTGGCGTTGTTAGCAGCCTCCACCATAAGGTTATTAGACAAGTTAAACCCCTTTTTAATCTCTTCAACAGTAGCAAGAATGGCGGCTTTAACATACGCCTTAGGGTCACTTGCTGAGGCGTTATGAGCGGTGCTGCCGAGTGTGTTTTGACATTCGTTTTGATAATTTGTAGAAGAACAAAGGGATGAGACAACCTTCATCTTTGGGGACAGATTCTCCACCATAGAATCGGAACTTTTGTTCTTGTTAACGACGGCGATGACCGCCATAGCTACACCGACGACGAGCATGAGGGACATGCCCGTCACGACCACCTTCTCGACCATTTTTAGTTTGTTTATGTCAATATGGAAAGGCTTTCCTCCTGTAAGTGAGAGTGATCAAAACCCAGGTGGAATAAGCTGCTGCTGCTGCTCTTACCACCAATAAGACTGGTTCTTATTTTTTTTCTTTTTCTTTTTTTTTTTTCCTTTTTTTTTTTTTTTTTTTTTTTTTTTTTTTTT